TTCAATCCACTCATCAGATAAAGACAGTCGCCGGGCTTCAAATGCAGCCTGTATTAACACTTCAAAACAATCAGAGCATCTCTGCAGGCGCAGGAAAGGTTGCACAGCAAGGAGAGAAAAAAACAGATTCTCTTTTTATTTATTTTTTTAGTTTTGAACTGCTTTTTGGAATTATATCCTCACAAAATAAATACAGATGATGTACATGATATCCACGCTCAATCCTATTAGTTGGAAGGAAATGTCAAGATGGAGGCCCATCTGCCTTTAAATAGGATACAGCTCCACATGATATTGATGGGGTAGTAACCTTCTGAAATGACAGGTTTAGTGGAGTCTTAAACGTGGATCCATTAAAGTTTTAATAAACTAAATCACAAAATGGCACCGTGGGCCGCTGCACTGACTGACCAGTGTCCTTCACAGGAAATGAGACATCATACATTCTCCCTGTTTGTCCTGATAAATTCAGGTGTCAGGCTTCAGCACTGGTAGGAAATCTTGTCAGCACAAGAAGTAATGAAATAACAAGCAAGAAGTTGTGTCCTAAACATCAAGGAGTGCACTCAGGGTTGGTACCTTGCCATGGGATTAAAGAAGTGCTGTAACTCCTGTGTGAATAACTAACTCGGGGTTTTTTGGGGAGTGTTCGGGATGTCGAGATCTATTTTTGTTTTTTCTGGAGGGGAAGGGTTGCCTTTTTATTTTGTGTAATACCATATCTTTGGTAAGAGCAGTCACATCTTATAAAGACCCCACAGGTAGTCATGAACGTTGTGCAGCTGGTAGGGAACTTTATAAAATGTCATGTTGGGCGTGTAGAGCCTTCTGTGGCCCCTAAAGCTCCAAGAGATGGAAACAACCTGTATCCTCTACCACAGTGACGGGCTGCTCGTCCTGCACAATGACTTCAGTTACCCTCTCTGCTCATCTTGATGGCCTTGCCACTGTCTCCAAGAAATGTCTTTTTGCTGTTAAAGCATCCTCCAGTCATTGATTTGACATAGATTTGTGCTCAATAATGCCATGGTGATGGACACAGCGCCCCCTTCAGGAGACAACGAAAGTGAACGTTTTGAGTGTCTTGTCTATCCCAGATGTTCATTCTGCAAAACTTGCCTCCAGAGACTTTGCTGGGCGTCAGGACAGTGAACGTCGCTGGAATTCACGGCGGCCAGTTGTGATGTGGACATACTACACCAACACGGAGTCCGATCGGAGACGACGCCGGCAGTTACCCGAGAGAGAAGGAAGTGATAGGAACATAAACAAAGGAGGAGGAAGAGAGCCGGGATCCATGCTAGGCTAAAGGCTAGCCCCTCCAGACCAGCGGGATCCATGCTAGGCTAAAGGCTAACCCCTCCAGACCAACAGGATCCATGCTAGGCTAAAGGCTAGCCCCTCTAGACCAGCAGGACCGTCCTCCTGCTCTCCAATGTCCCTCCACAACAAGCTGGACTAGTTACGTTTGCTGAGAGGAACCCTCAGAGAGTGGAGGGACTGCTGTGTGTCTGCTTTAACAGAAACATGGCTCCATGACAGCATCCCAGACGGACAGACAGCTGGAGGGGATGCAGTGTGTTTCTTTGTGTCTCTGAAGACCTACCAGGACCTGAAGAGGTTCTCCATGTTCAACGAATGGCAGCGTGCATGGACACAGCGCCCCCTTCAGGAGGCAGCGAGAGTGAATGTTTAGTGTCTTATCCCAGACGTTCATTCTGCAAAACTTGCTGATTAAATGACCCTGAAGAAACGCTCTCTCATCCTGCCTGTACTGCTGTGTATGTACAGCAACATGACAATAAACCTGATTTGATTTGATAAAGCCAATACTGCTCAGTTTAAAAAATATGCCTTGATCGACCCCATTGCTAGTCTTTGAGAAATATCTCTCGATATGTAAGAAAAAACACCTGTCTACAGCTAAACACTGCACAGGCACCCAGCCATCCACATGTTATCAGAGGAAACATGAATCATCAGACCAGACAGTCTTCTTCCATCCCTCAGTCATCCAGTTCATTCATGCGCCCACTTGTAGCTGCTTTCAGCGTTGGACAGGGGTCAGCATGGCCACTCTGGTCTGCAGCTAAGCAGCAACACACTCTGTGTTCTGACACCTTTCTATCGTTGCACCATCACGGTCTCCAGTAGCTCCACTGTGAGACCCGTCTCCACTGCCCACGTCTTCGCTCTAAGCTGTAATCTTGAGTCTGTTATGTGTAACTACAGCAGTGTGGAGCCATCAAGTGCACATTCAAGACCCTTTGTTCCAGTTCCTCGTCTTCACAGGAGCCAGCTGGAAACATTAGTTAGCCAGTGTTTTCAATCAGGTTAGCACAAGTAGTTGCTTTTTGTTCATTTAATATTTGGACGACACATTATTTTTCCTTGGCCCATGATGTGAATGTTAGAACAGATGTTATTGATATCATTGGTTCTGAAGTGTCCTCGTCAGTGTGTTATGCTGTGAACTCTGCAGCTACATGGAATTCAGTCATTATTCGTGTTTGGATACACTGTTGTGTTTCTTTATTCTTTGAAAAGTCAAAATATATTTGGCTTTATTTGCCAAATATTTACGGTTCTGAATTTATTTATTTTTTGGCTGAATTTGCCGTCGAGTCACACAAACATGCTCTCAGGAAGTCGGAGAAGGCGGGAAGTAAGACGTTAACGGCGAGGCATCGGGGTTAAATGTTAATCAAAAAAGACAGACTTAAAGACGTGCACGCAAACACACAGCTGTGCAGACGGACGCCCACGTGCAAACACACACACACTCAAAGTCACTCGAGACGTGAAGTGTCGTTTGAATCGGGCGCGTGTCCCAAACCGCGGGGAGTCCTTCCAACAGCCTGGCTTATAGATGAAGGTCTCACACACACATATAAGGAGGCACACACTCACACGCACATGCATGAAAACACAGCAGCATACACACACACACACACACACACACACACACTGCCTCCTGCTGCTGCTCCTGGCGAGCTATGAGACGTGGCCTGCTGACTAGAGAATGGCACAATTGTGTGTTTGGGCCATCTGCTGCTGAGACTGATATAGATATCACACACACACACACACGCCACACACACTAGCATGCACACACTAGCATGCACACATATTGCCCACACACCTGCAGGTAGACATGCAGAAAAGATTATGACCGCAGCAGCCCACCCAGCTATATGCTGCATAATGTAAGGGTGAGTGTCTGGATTGTAGTTACAAGCAACGGAGTCTGAAAAAAGATGAGCTGGCTTCCTAAGTGTGACCCACTGAGCCTGTGGTGCCGTTCTGTTTATTTTGCAGGTATGTCTTAGTGTCTAGAATTTAAGAGACAAATGGGACATGATGAAGTAGTAAACACCAACACCACAAACATACATGAGATGTTTTTTTGTCGGACTGTGTTATTGTTTCTGTCTTCTATCATAATTCTGTTGGTTATTAAGACAATAATATTTCACACATTCTTTCATTTGCAATGTTAAAATCTCAGTTTTATATTTTGAATTTGTTTAATACAACTTTTAAAAAATTGAAACAATACAAGACTTCCCTACTGGTTAATTCATTTTATGGATATAAAAAATAAAAGCAAAAAAGTTAAATAGAAATTAAAATTAAAAAATAAGAAACATCTGACAAAAACATTTTAAAACGCCAACGGTGATGCCTAATTTGTGCAAACTGCATATCTGAGGGCATATCCTTTATTGAGCTATATCCAGTGTGCAGGTATGGTGCGGTGCTGGGCGGCGTATTTGTTCTTCACCAGGAGGCTGAAATACCAGCCGGTCCAATCTGGACACGTCTTTATTGCTGAACTTTTGAGTCCGGGCCTCTCAGAGTCAGAACAATAAGGAGAGTAAACACGAGGAACTAAACAAACCAGCAGAGGAGCCTCGAATAAGAACTGGATCAGATTTTATTGACATCTCTTTCCTTTCCAATTAGGGAAACGGTAATGACAGAGACTAGCAGCTCTGGTGAGGATTCTGAGAGAGAGACAGAGAGGTTCAGGCTTAATACACACCAAGATCTCTTCAAAGAGGAATTAAAAAAAGAAGGACAGAAACACGGCGATTTTTCTACAATTACGAAGACTAATTAGTTGAAACATTACCATCTTTAATTTTTCAGCTGCTAAATGGATTTATCTCCAGCTCACTCTTAAATGCAGCCTTCTATTAACATTTTCCATTTAAAGAACATTTTCCAGAATGTCATTACGTGGTCTTTCATTAAAAAGCCTTGATGTGAATGTCACGGTTCTGAACTTCATCGTATCTGTAGAACATAATGGGAGAGAGACGGCGTTACTCACTCCTGATGCACAACAAACCGATTTCTGCAGCAGTTCATCAAAAAAATGTTTTATGTTTGAGGGGAAAAAAAGGGTTTTTCTATTTTGTGTAACTGTGTGTGTTTCTGAAAACTGTGTGATGGCATCCTGTTGCTTTATCCCCCAGTTTGACAAACAAATATTGTCTGAAGGTTCTTAAAACGTTTGTATTGAGGCTGGAGCTAATGATTATTTATGATTAAGGGTTAACGCTTTATCAGGCAAGGAACCATATATGGTAACTTCCACAGGCTTTAAAAATGGCAGGATCACGTGACTTCATCCAGCCAATCAGTGAAGTCACTATGACCTCTGACCAATCACGAGAAAGCCAGAGTGATGTTTTCACACAAGTGTCATCAGTCTGATTGGTGATTTGGAAATAAATGTCCTTCATCTTTATATGTGTATTTTTTACAATACTCTATCCACGTATTATATTTGGATTATTTTTTTGTAGACGGTGACTGCTTTGACTTTTTCAGCCTAAATCTGAAACTTTTTCAAAAAGTCCAAAAAGAAAAAAAAAGTCTCCTTATGTCCACCAATAACATTCCAGGGTTGACATTTCAATGAGCGCCCTATATGGGACTGATAACCTGTAATAACCTGATAAACCAACCACTTCCCTGTCTGCTGCTTCCAGGTCCTTCTCCAGCCTGTCCGACGACAGCGAGGAGTCCAGAGCCAGGTACCTCTACAGGCAGTGGGTCGGACTCGGTTTGACCGACGTCCATCTGTCCAATCACACGGTTCTGCTCAGCCTGCCCGGCTCCACGCCCAACACCATCACCGACAGGTCCAGCCACCAGTGTTTTCTGCCCAACGGGACCCCCTGCGACCAGCGTGGACCCAACGACCTGCCCAGGCAGCAGTTCTCCTACGCGGCCTACTCCGCTGTTGGAAGCGTTCAGGTACCGTCCGTCACGCTGTATTGACTTTTCCTGAAACAAAGGTTGCTTCACCCTCATGGCTGCTGCTCTCTAGGCCTGTACTTGCCTCCTCTTCATCACCTTTATATCGTCAGACTGTCTGTATCTCCGGCCCTCAGCCAGCGACGGGTCACCAGGAAAGGTCACAGCCAGTGGTTTAGCTTTAAATGTTAAAGCGTGGTCAAACACAGTTCGGGGTCTGAATGTAGCTCAGTGCTGGATGTGTTTTAGCCAGTCAGGCAAGAATCTTTTTATTTTTATTTACAGGTAGAAGGTCAACTCATTTGTCCAAAAAAAGAAAGAATCCCTTAACGACATCTTTGTCCTCAACTTGTTTATGAAACCGCTTTAAAACGATTTCTTTGTGCGCTCAGAAAGCGGTGATTCAAGGTCAGCACGGCTAATTTAATTTGAATTTCAGACATTTTCTAAAACAATTGTAGCACAAATCCTGTGCATGCATAATCTTCTTTTGGACTTTATCTGATTCACAGAAATTAAATCTGCTTCAATTCACAACGACTTGGCAGCGAATCCAGACTAAACATAAGAACATGTTTGTGCATTTTCTGCATCGCCGACTGGATGCATGAAGGTTCTCGTCACATACAGTTTGCATTACGGCAACTGCACAGCTTTGTACAGCGATGTTAGGAATGTACAGCTCAGCAGGTTTGCAGGTAGGTTTCTTCAGCTGAGAATTCGTATCGGTCCTAGAGATTTGTCTGGTGGTTCTTCGGACTGACATAAATAAGGAACTCTAAACTCTGTGCAGCATTAGTTACCATAGCGATTTAGGCAGGTTAAAGAGAGCTTCCTTCATGACACTTAAAACTCTGGCTTTAGGCTCAGCCTATCTTGCTAACTCTCTAATCCTGCTCAGACGTTAGGATTCATCCAATGCTTTTGACAGTAGGAAGAATAAACCCCGAGTGAGCTCCTCCAACCCAACCTGGAGGCTGCTTGACTTTTCAGAAGAGACAAACAGTGTAATCAGTCCCAATCAGGTCGGGATGTAGCCGAAAATAATAAAAAAGAGCTCGCTGTAAAAGGCAGAGGAGCCCAGGAAGCCCCGCGTGTTAGAAATCAGGCTGATTTTATTTTAATAATCAACAGCTAGACTCACGTTCTCCTCATCACAGGCTGATAAGCCCGGTTTCATGTCTCTGACGAGGGAAGGCGTTTTGGAATCCTGAATTGTTCACCAGCTGTCACATTTTAAACCAGAAAGAATAAAGTGGTTCTAATGCTACGAAGGCACAATATGGAATGAGACTGTATGTGTGCTGGAGTTAAATGGGTCATACTGAAGGAGAGCTGTTCATAGCAGGGCGCCGCGGGCCGTCTCAGCCAGACAAGAGGTAGTTCACACACATTATGCATCACACGTTAGAAAAATAAGACCGGATCCTGTAAGTAGCAGAAAACTCAATGCAGGAACCATAAATATCTTCAGCATCGTATTTTGCCTCATGCTGGATGCGCCGTTAATCTTTTCCACCATCCTTCATGAGTGTGAAGGTTAATGGAAGTCGTTATACATGTAGTTTGCCCGCTCCAGCCAGCAGACACTCCTCCACCAAGAAATACAGTCGCACTATTTTTAGTGGGCTTTGCTTCTCTGCATCCTGGGAACAAAGAAAGGGGTTGAAGGAGATGCTTGTTATTCCCTTGAGCCCCTGCCCGGCCTGAGGGCAGATGAAAAGTTGGAGTGATTCTCTGAATACCAAGTTTTTCCTCCTCTGTTCTTCCCCTCCCTCTCTCCTCGTTCTCCTTTCTGCGCTTTGCTCGATCCATCCAGCTGTCCGCTCGTCGAAGTCTACCCAAAGGAGGGTCACAGTCATCCATCACCGCATTATTTCCTCGCACCGTTCCTGCACGCTGCCTTGAATTAAGCGGCAGTTTGCCGGATCTAAACATGGCTTTCAGACAATTAAATATGGCGTTTGTGATGGATGGATGGCGGCCCAGAGCAAGTATACTGGACTAATAAGTCCTGCTGCCGGTGGCCCTGTTCTGCTGGTGCTGTGGGGAACAGTGCTTTGATACACAGACTCACAAAAACAAAAGTAAAAACAATGTGAAATTAAAAAGTGAAGTAAAACCAGAGACCAGGTTGAGATGAGCTCACAGTGTCTGTCAATGCATGTTGTAATAATGTAGTAATTACTAATTAATTACATACATGCACTATTACACTTAAGGGTCAGACACACCTGTCGTCATTTAGATGTTAACTACACACACATTAAGTTCTCGTCTTGCACGGTTTCGATGCTGCCCCATCAGACATATTAACACCTCCCCAAGTACCCAAGGCTGCCTTGTGGAGGTTCGCACTACAGTAAATGTCCATATTTTGCAGTGATGACACACACACACACACACACACACACACACACACAGACTCACAAGGTGAAAACAATATCAGCCTCACTATCGCAGCTGCAATAAGAGAAGATTGCATTATTTCCTTGATGTGGACCAGAGGAGGATAATGTGACCGCGCTCGCTGGGTGTAATGCTGCAATATGCAGACTGTAGTACAATAACAAAGTGGATATATTACACACACTCTACAGGTATAACAGCATTATAGGGGCTGCTGGCATATCTGGTCTCACTTGTCATGTAACCCAATCCTTCAGTTTATCTTCAGCCACGATCGCCGGGATGTGTGCAGTTCAACAGCAATAATAACGCATTAGCCGGGCCCCGTTCCTCTGGATAGTTTGTGGTGTCAGAAGTTAGTAGAGGAGATTTCACGTCGAGGCTCTGTTCTGGAGATTGATTTGGGTTTTCTTTTCCTACCATACGAGCAGTGAAGGGACGGTCTGCACACGCGAGCTGCTCTGAGACTCGTCTGTTCGTGGACGTGAAGATAAAACGGCGTAGCTTAAATACACACACGCTGCCTTTCACACCGATTAATAAACGTGATGTCAAGTTAAAATTAGCTACAAATTTATGACTTGTTTGCACAAATTAGTAAGGTACTACAGAACTAAACTCTCAACTTAATTCTCATTCGAAAATTAATCACAAGATAATGGAACAAAAATATACTCCGACATACACTCAGCTGACAAGTTATTAATTACCTCTAAAACTAAAGCATGTCTAATTCAAAACCTCTAATAAATCTGCCTTAACTGAGGTTATAATGTTGGATTCTCTGTTGATTTCAAAAGATGCTAATCCATATGTATGGTCATTGATCAAAACTTACAAAACTTACAAAAGCTGACCATTGAAACCTTTGTGAAGGTCGGATTTATTACTTGATGATTGGTTTGTTTTGGAGCAACAAGTCCTTCAACAGGCAAGATTTTAATATATCTACATTTCCTGGTCATTGGCGTGACGTTTTCCCCCTTTCATAAGAGTTTTCAAACACTTTCTCACCACTTAAAGGTCCCATTTTGTTCCCTTTTCCAGCACGTTGATGAAAGTCTCACGTGGCTCCTGTCTTTAGATTCTTAGTTCCTAACGCTGCAAAGAGATTTCATCTGACTGTGACTGTATATCTGCTGGTTTTAGGCCTGCTCTACGTGAGCTGCCCCTTCAGGAAGAAGACTCTCTCTGATAGATGTTAATAAGTTTGAAGACCAAGACTTTCTGTTGCTTCCAACTCGTCTTAAAATCTTCATAATTGGCATTGAGACCTGGAAGGTGCTTATTCATCTTCCATGGACACCACCTGAAAAGAGGTTTATGATTTTGTGTTGTAGAGACAAACTCATGAGACACATGAATTTATGAGAAGTTGTGGATTTCCAGATGCATTCCCTTGAGAGAGGTTCCCAGTTTAAACACAAGTAAATACTCATTTATTATGGGACGTTTATTCCTGTTAGATGGGGAATTTTGATTTGCAGTTACATGCTGAAGTCGGGGGCTGCAGGTGGATCGGTGGTTAGCATCGGTTGGCGTCCCGGTGAGGACACCTGGGATCTTTCTGCGTGGAGTCTCCATGTTCTCCCCGTGCAGCGTGGGTTCTCTCCGGGTTCTCCGGCTTCCTCCCACAGTCCAGAAACATGCTGAGGTTAATTGGTGATTGTAAATTGTCCGTAGGTGTGAATGTGAGTGTGCTTGGTTGTCTGTCTCTAAGTGTAGCCCTGTGATAGACTGGTTACCTGTCCAGGTGAACCTGCCTTCACCCTGAGTCAGCTGGGATAGACTCCGCCCCCCATGACCCTGATGAGGATTAAGCGGTGTAGAGATGATGGATGGATGGATGCTGAAGTCATTTCTTCTTGGGTTCTGCAAAAAATGCCTGTAAAATGTATATTTTCATAAAACAATATTGAACACGTTCCCCGTGACCAGAGTTGGGACCAGAGAGAGGCAGCGCTCGTCCCCTGATCAGGACAATAAAAAGCTTCCTGTTCATTTGCTGTAATCTGCAGTGATAATGAAGGTACCGGGCTTCGGGTCGGTGCTTGTAAACCTCACACTGGCTCAAAAAACTTACAATAGTCTTAATTCTGAATCTCACATACAGTACAGCGAGCATTTGCTCACGAGCAGAGAAAAGGGGAATTAGAATTCTTATGAACCTGCTTGTTTGTGTTTACACAGCAGTCCTGTTGACAGACGTTCACATTGATTCTGGGCCGACTCAGTGTGAATCGCTGAAGCTATTTTCGTCTCAGCACACTGTATCAGAACTTCTGAACCAAAGCAGACCTCTGAATTTCATTTAGCTTACTTTTATGGTTCTGTTTAGGTTAATTGGATCGTTTTAAAGAGGAAAACGGGCCACGCGGTTGTTTGGTTAATAAGCAGCACTAAAGAATGGATTGCACCAGAGACAGACCCAGTTGCCACAGGACCCTGAGGACTCGTAAAGAACAGAACAGCGGAAGTACACAAGCGGCATCCCAGGCGACACGGACGTCCGTGAAGTACAGAAAATCCTCCCGGTGCAGAGGATGCTATTCATCAAGCGGAGCCAGATTCCAGCCTCCCCGTAGAACCTC